TGCAAAGTAAACTAGCTTAATAAGGGAAATTTCACTATTTAATGCAAATGGGGAAAAAAAAAAACAATAGGCAAAACTTAATCCAGGAGCTTTAGCAGTTTTATCTCTTCTGCCCTCATGTTTGTTTCATTTTCACCAAGTTCCTCCATCATAATTACAAGATGACTACTCTCAGGTCCTGGAGCTGGATGTTTTTGAATATCACAAATAGGGAGAATCTGCTTCCTAGAGACCCTATATAAAACTTACACACTAATGAATCTGGCTGGCCCATTATAAAGCCAGATTTATGTATATTTGTATGTATTTATTTATTTTTGGTATTGGGGATTGAACCATGGGGCTCTTAACCACTGAGTGACATCCCCAGCCCTTTTTATTTTTTATTTTGAGACAGGGCATTGCTAAATTGCTGAAACTGGCCTTGAACTTGTGATAATCCTGCTTTAGCCTCCTGAATTGCTGGGATTACAGGTGTGTTCCACGGTGCCCAGTGGAATCAGATGTTAAACTGACATATTTTCCTAATAGCATATGTAGTTACAAGTGATATGTATTTCTGAGAAGTACAGATTATAGAAGTGGCTTCAAGATATTAAGCCTGAAACCTGAAGAGTGAATTAGTGCTTGCTGGGAGAAAAGGAAGTCAGGGTTATCTTTGCGAACAGTCATTAGGCCAGTTAGGTAAGTTACAAAATGGAAAAAGGCCTGAGGAATCTGGAGCAGAGAATGTAGGAGAATGGTCAAGGTCAAATCATGTTGATTTTTTAAAAAAATTTTTATTCTTAGAATGTTGTGATATGAATTAATTTTAAGCTGGACAGAAGGTAGCATGATTTATTTTTAAAAGGTTACTGTGATTTCAGAGTAGCGAATAGATTGGGTGAGAGTGAGATTACTGTCACTTGAATTAGGGGACAGTTGAACACCACCAGACTGAGGTGGAGGAGCAAGTTGTTGTTGTTGTTTTTTAAATATTTTTTTAGTTATACTTGGACACAATATCTTTATTTTGTTTATTTATTTTTATGTGGTGCTGAGGATCGAACCCAGTGCCTCAAGCAATCTGCCACTGAGCCACAACCCCAGCCCAAGGAGCAAATTGTTAAAGTAACCACCATAGTTACTGAGTCTGGATTCCATGACATACTCTATCTGTGTCTTGACAGACACACACACACACACACACACACACACACTCACACACACAGTATCTGTAAAATCATGTTAAAGGTGGGTGATGTTACCTCCATTTTATAGATGAGTAAGATTAAAGGTGCTTAAAGTGATTTAGCTAGGTCCACACTGATATCTGAATTCATATTGGCATGAATCCTTTAAACTGGCTCTCTCTATAAAAGTATAGTGTGATGTTGTCTTTCATGAGTTTCATGAGTATATTTGCTTTATCTAAGCAGTGTAACTATGACCTTGTGTCTCTCAGCACTACTAGCTATTGCTAAGAACAACTTTTTCTGTAAAAAGAATTTTAAAAAGGTCAGTGGCAGTATGCTCCAAGTTATTGCCATTCTTTGAGCCTTGTGTCCAAATAGATTCAGCATAAAAGTATAGCATTACATTTGTTCATTTCCTTTAAACAACCCCTACCTTTTATTTCTTGAGCAGAGAAAAGTAAGGTTAGAAGCTGACTTTCTCATAATAATTCTATAATCTATTTGAAGTGGTTCTTGTTTGAGCTGCTTCAGGTGTCAGCAACTACCCTCTACTTTATTTACTTGACTTTTATGTGTGGTATTGATCTCCTTTCTGCTAGGATTTTATCACCCGTGCAGGTGATGTCTTATTTCTTAAAGTCATTCAGTTTTTATGTAATTACAGAATTCTAGAGCTTCATCCTTTGAAGGCCTAGTCTTACCATCATGAACATTGTAGTTTATTTTATTCCTTTGTTGTTTCTTCATTATTCGTAACAAGTAAACACTGCCAGGATTCTCTTTTGTTTGTTTGGTTTTGTATTTTCCTGAGGTCAAATCTGAATTTTGTTTTAAATAATGTATGTTGTGAGTTTTTCAAATCTTTCTAGTTTCCTAAAGAGGAAAATCATACCCAGATTTGCAAGGAAAATTTTATGACAGTGTCTGTAGAGTTAACTCTTTCACCACATCTTTTCACCAGATGTGTGTGCCCTTTACTTTGATGTTACAGGTTTCACTTTAAGGACTGTTAATTTTTTGTTGTTGTTAAGGTGTTTTTTTTTTTTTTTTTTCAATATTTACTTTTTAGTCGTAGTTGCACACAATATCTTTATTTATTTATTTTTATGTGGTGCTAAGGATCAAACCCAGGGCCTCACATGTGCTAAGCGAGCATTCTACTGCTGAGCCACAATCCCAGTTCTGTTAAGATTTTTTTAAGACAGACACAATGTCTTTATTTATTTTATTTATTTTTATGTGAGCTGAGGATCAAACCCAGTGCCTCATATGTGTGAGGCAAGCATTGTACCACTGAGCTATAAACCCAGCCCCGAGGACTATTAATTTTGATACTAGGGATTGAATCCAGGGAGGCTTTACCATTGAACTACTCCCCTAGTCCTTTTTATTATTTATTTTGAGACATGATCTTATTAAGTTGCATAGGATGTCCTTGAACTTTTGAATCTTTTGGCCTCAGCCTCCTGATTTGCTGGAATTACAGGCATGTGCCACTGTACCCAGTTTAAGAACTGTTTTTTGTTGTTAGTATTTTGTTCTGAATACTAATACTTAGCCCTGTCTTAAAACATTTTTTAATATAGAGGACTGCACTCTCTTATCCATGATTCTAATATCCCGGATGCTTGAAAAATGAAGTTTATTTTCATATATTTAGCACCAAAATTCATTTGGCAACACCATTTCTTTTCTTTTTCTTTTTTTTTTTTTAGGAGAGAGAGAGAGAGAGAGAGAAAGAAAGAATTTTTTAACATTTATTTTTAGTTTTCGGTGGACACAACATCTTTATTTTATGTGGTGCTGAGGATCGAACCCAGCGCCGCACGCATGCCAGGCGAGCACGCTACCACTTGAGCCACATCCACAGCCCTTTTTTTAAAAAAAAATTTTTTTAGTTATACATGGACATAATATCTTTGTTTATTTATGTTTATGTGGTGCTGAGGATCCAACCCATGTCTCACACGTGAGAGGCGAGTGCTTTACCGGCTGAGCCACAACCCCAACCCTGGCAACACCATTTCTGACATGAGTGTACATAATCTTTGTTTATTCCAGTTAGTTTGTCATGTTTCATTGTGTTTAGTTATGGGCTGCTACACCCCCTCATCTCCTTAGCAGTGTTATATAATTTATGGTATATATTAGCTTTCCAAAATAAAAAATATATATGTCTGAAATATTTGGCCTGAGTGTTTTGGATCAGGGATTATGGGCCTGTATATACATATCAATAGCAGTGATCACAGTGTGATGTGGCAATTTGTTCCCTTGTCTATCTTCCTTATTAGGCTATGAGCTAGAAAACCTTTGCTTTTTGGATCCATCACCTTTATCACCCTACACAGAGTAGGTGCTTAATATTGAAATTGAATCCTCAACAAGTAGGTTATTGAACATGGATTTTATTTGTTTCTTGGTTTTCCTATGTTCCCTTTTTTTTCCCAGCGATCTCTTTCCTGTTCTTCTGTTTTCTTGATTCTCACTGAAATCTTGGCTTTACCATTTTCTGTGTGATTTGTCTTTGTTATTGTTTTTTGGAGGTATTAGGGATTGAACTCAGGGGCACTCAACTACTGAGCCACATCTCCAACCCTATTTTGTATTTTATTTAGAGACAGGGCCTTACTGAGTTGCTAGTGCCTCCTCATTAATGAGGATGGCTTTGAACTTGTGATCCTCCTGCCTCAGCCTCCTGAGCTTCTGGGATTATAGGTGTGCAACACTGCATCCAGTTATTCCCAGACCTAATATTCTATACAGTGACATTTTTACCATTTTTCTTAGGTATATAAACACATTGTCTTTAAGTATAATAGCACTACCTTTAAATACTACAGCCCTTATGCTTACTTTTAACAATTTTTTACTATTTTTGTTTTCTGTTTTAAAACTGTTCTTATTTGAAGCTTTTATTTTAACATCATCTAGTTTCTTGATTTTCAATTATTTTATTCAGTTTTTTGCTAGTCAGTCTGATATTTTATACTATGCTCTTTAATACAAGTGATTCCACGTGGTTTGTATTTTAAAATGCACCTTGTGTATAATTCTCTTTTCTTTTTCTTAATATTCAAGCAACTGACCAGAAAAAAAAAATCAACATTAGGCTTTAGTGGTAAAATGTTAGTGTCATTTTCTTGATGAAAGGACAGTAAAAAGGAAAGACAAACCAATAGTGCCTATCAGAAATTTTTTTTACAGTTTATTTTGTTAGGAACGGGACAGTAAAATCTGATTATGATTGGAAAGGAAAATAATATGTTGTTTGAAATGATTATTATGTACCTAAAATTCTAGAAAATTAGAATTAATATATATTTATTCAAGTTGCTTCATGTAAAATAATTCAGAAGCCTATTTAATTTGTGTTTAATGATCTTATTATAGGTTTAGATATAACAAATCATGGCAGTCTATTAGCTTCACAGATCAGATTTAATTTGATATAGCAATACACAAGAGGATAAATATTGTTTATTTGAACCTGTGTGTGTGTTCCCTATTTTTTCTTATACATTTGTAAAGTTTGTGCAAAATAAGATAGAATGTTTACAAAATGTATTTGTGATACTTCTGTATTTTTCTTGACTTAAATGTTAGATAATGATTGGGATTGAGGAATTATTTTTTTCTTTACATATAAGAGAATGATTTTTATATCCATTTTCTTCATGATAGCCTCTTTCTAGATTGTTAGGCTAATAAAACATGTTTAAATCAAAGGAGTATTAACCAATTAAAAAATCAAATTGGTGTTACATAGAATATTTTCCAGAGATAGGAAGTCATCACTGTGTTCATCATCTTTTTGTTTTGCAGTGGGACTTCCCCTCTTGCCTGCCTGAATGCAATGCTCCACACAAACTCCCGAGGTGAAGAGGGTATCTTCTATAAAGTTCCAGGTAGAATGGGAGTATATACTTTAAAGGTAAATATTTGTGTTGGGGGCTAATTTTTAATTAAACAGCAAGCAGCAGTATATAAATAATATTTGAGCTGTAGAGGCAGAATTCTGTTTTTGAAGAACTTATTTTCAACAGGCGGTAATATTTTCAAACTGTACCAAATATATATAATTGTTGTTGCTGGGGGTTCAACCCAGGGCCTTATTTATGCTAAGTACATACTCTATCAGCCCCCATCCCCAATACTTACTTATTTATTTATGTATCTATTTATTTTTACTAATCTGTAACTGTCTATAGATAGATCAGACAAACAACTTTATTCTTTATAATTTTCTGGGATGGGGGCATGTACTGGAGATTGAACTCAGAGACTCTTTACCACTGAGCTACATAGCCCCAGCCCTTTTTATGTTTTACTTTGAGACAGGGTCTAAGTTGCTTAGGGCCTAAGTTGTTATTGCCTCAGCCTCCTGAGTTACAGGGATTACTGTTGTGTGCCCCTGTGCCCAGTAATCCTTCAAAAGAATTTTTTCTTTATTGAAAAGATAATAACTTTTTTTTTTTAATGGGGTCTTATTACAATTCTCAGGCTGATTTCAAACTCCTCAAGAGATCCTCTCCTACCTCCGCTTCCTGAGGCTATTGTGTGCACTGATGCCCAGCTCCCAGTGATTCTTTAAAAGAACTGTACAACATTTCAGTGATAATTGGGTTTTACTTTAGAGCATACTGCATAGATGCTTTACATTACTTTTATTTAACTGTATACTACAATCACACTTATTTCTTTTTTGTAATGGAGAAAACCAAAGTTCTGAAGACTGAATTTTCTTGACGGGTGTTAGCCAGTTAATTTCAGAATCAGAATATGAACCCAGAATTGACTTAACTTCCAAACCATGCTCTTTTTACCATAATAAGCTGGCTAATGTCTAATTCCAACAGTGAGAAAAGGAACCTTTACTTACCAATATCCTTCTGCTTACAAATAGGAAAACCACTTCAAATGAGCTTCAATAAGAAGAGAATTTATTAGTTCATGCAACTCAAAATCTAGGGAAGCTCAGGCTAGATCCTGTTGCTTAAATGACATCATCAGGACTTGGTCACGCCACTTCCTTTTGGCTTCGTTTTCAGTCAGACTTTTCACATCATTTATGACTTCACTCCTAGTCCCTACTCTGCAGTCTCTAATTTTGGAGGGAGAAGAGTCCAGGAACTACAGCCAAAACCTCCCACTTAATTTGAACTTGTCTTAATTAGTTTGGCCTACCCATGTGACCATACCTGAATGGCTTTTACCAAATCCATAGGTTCTTCGTATTGGTTTAATGTGGGGTTGAGATTAAACCTGCAACAGGCAGGTGAATTGAGGAGAAGAATTATTTTCCACAGGAGGTTTACCAGCAGATGAAAAATTAATGGTTGGAAGTCAGTGACTGTGTTTGTATCTGTGTGGGACTCTGTCCCTCTCTACTTTTTTGCACTGAACTAAAGTCATCACAAGTTCCATGGTTGTATGTAGCCCATTATTATTAAAAATATCTAACCTCCCTGTAATACCTTCTTTTTTGTGTACTGTGATTAACTTACTAGTGTTATAGGACTTTATTCACTATATGGAACTTCTGCTTTTCTTTGATTTCTTAGCTGTTTTAGATCTTCCCTAATTTATTATTCTCAGTATATTTCTGTCATCCAGTGTGGTGGTTTCTTTCCCCACACACAAAGCAGTTTTCCATCATACACCAACTGGGGTGTACCCCCTCATTTCGTTCAGTTCATAAACTGTCAGACTGACCACCCACCTCCCGCCCATTCCTCCAACTTCAAATCCTAGTTATGTGTTCTAAGTTGTGGCCTGTACTTCTGACACAACACTTGGAATTGGGGTTCTTATGAGTCTTTCCTTGGATTCATTTAATTTGCTAAGATGGCATAAGTTTGGAAACATTTTAATTTACCCATTTATTTAAAAAGATAATAAGAAGGGTACAGATGAATAGTCAGATGGAAAAGTTGCATAGACTGAGGTGTGGGAGAAGGGACATAGAACTTCCATGAATTCTCCAGAAGTACATATGAACTTCAGGCCTTTTGGGTTTTTATGGAGGTTTATTTCATTGGCCATTGGTAATCATCTCAATCTCTAGCCCTTCTCTCTTCCTGGGAGATTTTGTCTGAAAGTTCCAGCTTTCTCATTACATAGTTGGTTGGCTCCCTTGTCAGAGACTGTCCGGGGTCCCATCAAGAATTATCTTATGAGGCCAGGCAAGGTGGCTCATGCTTGTAATCCCAGTAGCTCAGGAGGCTAAGGCAGGAGGATCATGAGTTCAAAGCCAGCCTCAGCAATTTAGGAAGACCCTTAGCAACTCAGACCTTGTCTCTAAATAAAATACTTTAAAAAGGACTAGGGATGTAGCTCAGTAGTAAAGCACTCTTGCGTTGAACCCCTGGTACCCCCAAAACAAAAACAAACCAAAAACCAGAATCATCTCATTAGAACAAAAGATACTACCATTACCCAGGAGAGTCCAAGAAACTTGGGAGCTGTGTCAGACATTCCTATCACTAAAGAAGTTACAGAAGTCTTACGAGCTCTGTTAGGAACTGGGGTCCAAGACCAAATTTCAGAATAAAAGATTCTTGTACTGCCAGTATTTCTTAGGAAATTGCAAGAGTTTGGGAGCTCTATGTCAGGAACCATGGTCACAGACCAAATAATGTATTTATTTTATCAAAATATGGCTTCTGGGGCTGGGGTTGTAGCTCAGTGGTAGAGCACTCACTTAGCATGTGCGAGGCCCTGGGTTTAATCCTCAGTACCACATAAAAAATAAATAAATAAAATAAAGGTATTGTGTCCACTACAACTGAAAAATCAATATTCTAAAAAAAATGTGGCTTCTATGCTAAAAAAAAATGGAAATTATAAAAAGATAAACTGTAGTCTTGATCTCTGAAGCTCACATTGTAGTTATTGAAATAAATGTATGTTCAAAAAAAATGTAATGTGCTGTAAAGTATTGTGAAAATTAAGTGAAAAAAGTGTTCAAATAAAGAGATCCAAAAAGTTGTTGTTATTAACTTGTAAGATTTTAATTGGACTTTGGACAGATAAATAATGGTAGTGAGGGCTTTGTGGACATGAGAATAGCCCAAGCAAAGGTACAGATAAGATTCAGAATGGACTTGAAAGTAGTGAAACTTGGAGTAGTTAGACCATAATCTGTGTATGAGCTTCTGTGGTAAGGAGTCTTCAACGTATAGTAAAAATAGGTGGAGATCAAACTTTTGAGGCCTTTGAACCTGACTGAGTAGTTTGGCATATGTGTGTATGTGTGTGTTTGTGTGCTGAGTAGATGGCATAGGTTTTATAGGAGAATGGCTTGATCAAATCTGTGTTTAAGAAGATAATTCAAGTAGGATAGTTTTCAGAGCAAAGCAGGAAAAAAAGCTGGTTATAGTTGTCTGGAGGAGAAACTCAGACCCTAAAGAAAGACAATGGTAAAAGAGATGAAAGCAAGGGACATTAGAGAAATAGAATAGTTTGTATTTGGAGTGGGTTAAAGCGGGTGTGTGTGAAAAGATGCTAAGATTTGGGACATGAGCAGTTGATCCCAAAGGGATCACAAGTTTTTTACAAAAAGAAGATAATTATATTTGTATTTCAGATACTTGTTGAACCTTCAGGTCAAGATGTCTGGCTGGCAACTAACTCTATAAAAGCTGTCCTGCATTTTGAAGGAAAGAATAGAAAATTATGGGGTCTGTATTTTAAGAAAGTGTATAACATAAAAGATGGCTTAGAGAGAAATGGCTCAGGGCATAAATTTAAGTGGAAAATAACTGTTTCTTCCTAGATTAGAGTTTATACGGTCTTGGATATAATGTCATGGATGCCAATTATGTCTTAGAGGGGTCATGTCTTGTGTCTGTCAGTATTATTTGATTACAAAACCAAATTATATGGGAAGATGAAATATTAGTGGGTGAAAATCCGTAGTCTTATATCTTAGAAATAACTTTCAGTAGTTTGTTGATTTATACATATATATTTTTTTTTAGTACATAAATACCTAGTAACTAATATTTATTGAGCTCTTATGTCAGGCACTGTTCTAAGCATTTTTATATTTATTAGCTCATTTAATTTCCAAGTGATCTTTTAAGGTAGGTATTTTTATACCTTATAGAGATTAAGTTATAAGAGGTTGAGACTTTGACCAAGGCTTAACAGTTAAGAGAAAATAAAGATAGAATATCTTTGTTTTCCTTGTCCTTGATCTTTGTTATTGTTGTTGTCATTCTAATTAGTTATACATGATATGAATGTATTTGACACATCGGGCATAAATGGAATATAACTTCTCATTCTTCTGGTTATATATGATATAGAATCACACCGGTCATGTACTCATGTATGCACATAGGATAATAATGTCCAATTCATTCTACTGTCTCTCCTATCCCCATCTTGTCCTTGATCTTATAACCACATTATTCTCTCTCACATACTCAGCTGACACTTATCTTTTATGATTAGCATTCTCTTTATTAAATGCTGAAACCAAAAAGACTTGATATGATTTTTTTCCCTTTATTTATTTATTTTTACATGGTGCTGAGGACCAAACCCAATGCCTCACAGGTACAAGGCAAGTGCTCTATTGCTGAGCCACAACCCCAGCCCTGATAAAATTATTTTTAAAAATTATTTTTTTCTGTTTGACCCTCGGCACTTATTAGCCTATATTCAAGAACCAATATGATTAAAGTAATATACTATCTCTTGCTATCCAGAAGCTAATTCTCTAATAGAATTCAGAATACATGGTGGTGAACACAAAAACACACAATTGTACATATATTTAACAAAACAGTTATTAAATAGTTTTTTTTTTTTCATTCTGAATATTTTATCATTTACCTGGACTTAGATCTACCTAATTTCTGTCTAAATTTAGCCTGTGTATTGTGCCCGCTCATGACTATTTTGTATAATTTTTATCTTTGGATGTAAATAGAAACATTAACTTATTTGAGCCAAAAAGGGAGATGGCAAGAAATCAGATAACTTTGCTTAATCTGCTGTTTTGTTTTATAATACTAAAAATTAGTGCAACTAAGTTGCAACATTGCATATCAGAAATTTAATGCCTGTTTGTGAAAATGGTAATAATTAATCCTAATTGGATGCCTACATTTTCAGAAAGATGTGCCGGATGGGGTGAAAGAGCTATCAGAAGGTTCAGAAGAAAGCAGTGATGGTCAGTCAGATTCCCAGAGTTCTGAGAACAGCAGCAGCAGCAGTGACGGTGGCAGCAACAAAGAGGGGAAAAAGAGCAGGTGGAAAAGGAAAGGTAAATCTACCTGATCCTTCAATAAAGTATTGCATGCTATAGGACAAACATTCTTTTAGTAATTACTCTTTTCCCACACCCAGGCTCTTGCTCTTTCCTCTAGATCAGTACTCTCCATTAATTTCCTGCAATGATGGAAATGTTTCTATCTATACTGTCTAGTACAACACAGTGGCCACTAGTCTCATGGACTTGTTACTTCCAGTGTGAGGAATACTTTTAAAAAATACTTTCTTTTGGGGGCCAGGTTTAGGTTCGCAGAAGAACTCAGTGGAGAGCCAGGCACAATGGCACACACCTGTCATCCCAGGGACTTGGGAGGCTGAGGTGGGAAGATAAGAAATTCAAGGCCAACTTCAGCAACTTATCGAGACCCTGTTTTAAAATAAAAAGTGCTGGGGATGTAGCTCAGTGGTAAAGTGCCCCTGGGTTAAATCACCAGTACTTAAAACAAAAACAAATAAAAAAACTCCCCACCCCCATGTATGCATTGTTTTGCCCACTTTCAAGATCTCCCACAAGACTGGTACATTTTTTTACAGATGATAAACCTACGCTGGCACATCATTATCACCCAAACTCCATGGTTTACATTAGAATTCACTCTTAGTGGTATACATTCTAAGGCTTTAGAAAATAATGTATAAAAAGACATGTATTCACCATTAAAGTATATAGAATAGTTTAATTGTCCTAAAAACTCTTCTGTGCTCCATCTCTTCAACCCTCTCTCCCTGATAGCCCCTAATATTCACTACTCTTTCTACCGATTACAAAGTTTTTACCCTTTCTAGAATGTCATATAGTTGAAACATTGTCAGATTGGCTTCTTTGATTTAGTAATATGCATTTTAGATTCCTCCCTGTCTTTTCATAGCTCGATGGTTCATTTCTTTTTAGCATAGTTTATCCCTTTTCCAACTGAACATTTCAGGTTGCAGTTACAAATAAAACTATGTGCAGTTTTTGTGTGGGTATAAGTTTTCAATTCCTTTGGGTAATTATCAAGGACTATAATTAATAGATCATATGGTAAAAGTATTGTTTATTTTCATAAACTGCCAAAGTGTCTACCAAAGTGGTTGTACCGTTTTGCATTCCCATCAGCAGTGAATAGGAGTTCCTATTGGCTTTTCAGCCTCACCAGCATTTGGTGGTGTCAGTGATCTGGATTTTGGCCATTCTATTAGGTGAATAGTGGTATCTCATGTTTTAATTTGCATTTCTCTAATTACACGTAATGTGGGACATCTTTTGTGTTTTTATTTGCCCTCTGTATGTATTCTTTGGTAAGATGTCTATTCAGGTCTTTGACCTATTTTTTATCAGGATTTTTGTTATTGAACTTGAAGAGGTTTTTTTTTATATATTTTGAGTAGTAGACCCTTTTTTTGTTTGTTTGTTTTATTTTTTGGTTAAGGGATTGAATGCAGAGTTGCTTAACCAGGAGCCACATTCCTAGCCCTTTTTATTTTTTGAGATGAGGTCTCACTAAGTTGTTTGGGGCCTCACTAAGTTGCTGAGGCTGACTTTGAATTTGCGATCCTCCTGCCTCAGACTCACAGGCCACTGGGATTATAGGCATGAGCCACCATACCCAGCAGCAGTCTTTTGCATGTGTTTTCTCCAAAACTGTGTTCTTTTTAGTTTCCTGCAGTTTGTTTTCATAGAGTATAAGTTTTTCATTTGAATGCAGGCTAGCTTATCCATCCTTTGTTTTATGGATGGTATCTTTGGTCTCGTATTTAAAATTCATCATCATCAAACTTGGGGTCACATAGATTTTTTTTTCTATTATCTTTTATAATTTTGAGTTTTGTTTTTAGGTCTGATCCATTTTGAGTTAATTTTTGTGAAGAGTGTAAGGTCTATGTCTTATTCATTTTTTGGTATGTGGATATCCAATTAGAAACTGATTTTATTTTATTTAAATTTATTTATTTGGTACTGGGAATTGAACTCAGGGTCACTTGACCACTGAGCCACATCCACATCCCCAGCCCTATTTTGTATCTTTTATTTAGATACAGGGTCTCACTGAGTTGCTTAGTGCCTGGCTTTTGCTGAGGCTGGCTTTTTTTTTTTTTTAAATATTTATTTTATAGTTGGACATAATACCTTTATTTCACTCATTTATTTTTTACATGGTGCTGAGGATCGAACCCAGGGTCCCATGCGTGCGAGACGAGCGCTCTACCGCTGAGCCACAACCCCAGCCCTGAGGCTGGCTTTTAAATTCTCAATCCTCCTATTTTAGCCTCCTGAGCCGCTGAGATTAGAGGTGTGCATCATCATGCCCAGCATGATTTTATTTTTTGAACCCAGAGATACTTTACCACTTAGCTACATATCCAGCCTTTTTATTTTTTATTTTTTCTAGACAGGGTCTCACTAAGTTGCTTATGGCTTCCCTAACATGCTTAGGCTGACCTGGAACTTGTGATCCTCCTGCCTTAGCCTCCCAAATTGCTGAGATCACAAGTATGTGCCACCATGGTCAGCTAGAAACTGAATTTTTAATTTAAGATAAAATTAAATAGCTAAATGTTGGATACCATCCATAAAACTTCAAGTGTTATCTGGTTTTGCTCTCATGGTGGTTAACCATTCATAGCTTTTTTGTTTTTAAGACTTATAAAACATGCTGTGATCCTCAGGTCTAAACTTTGAGCACCTACTGCTGTAACACTTTGCTCTCTAGTAGGAAAAGAATGCTTTTTATTTTTACCAGCAAACACCAAATTTAGTCTGCTTGTCTTTGCTCTCCTCATGTTTGGTGTCTACTTGATAGCTCACCCAGAAAGCTTTCTTGAGGGAATAATGTCTGCTTTGCAGCAGCTTCACTGGAAAAGATATTCCAATTAAGGACACATTTTATTACCTGTTCCTTCCAGTTACTCTGTCAGAGGGTAAATCCTTTTTTTTTTTAATCCAATATTTAATTTAGCTGTATATAGCAAGGCAAATTTTAAGTCAACTCTTGAATCATTTACAAAGATACTGATATTCCTGAGTAAAATAGACATTCAAGATTTTCCTTGGCTTGAAGATCCTCTTAGATTTGAGTGATAGGTGAGCCATCTTTGAATCTAGTAGCTAAGATTATATTTCCCAAAATACTAGGCTCATTAATTTGAAGTGCTTTCAGAACTGTTAATGGGCCTATATCAAGAAACAGTTCTAAGCTAGACTCACTGGCACACGACTGTAATCCCAGTGGCTCAGGAGGCTGAGGTGCTAAGCAACTCAATGAGACCCTGTCTATAAATAAAATACAAAATAGGAATGGGGATATGGCTTAGTAGTTGAGTGCCCCTGAGTTTAATCCCTGGTACCCCCTCCCCCTGCCTAAAAAAAAAAAAAGTAATTCTGATAAATTACCATCACTGTTAATGTGTGTGTTTTTCCTGAAGAGAATTGAGATAATTGGTGTCCGCATATGTGCTCTCTGGCTCTGGCTTAGATATTATATGTGCAATGCAGGCAAACTTTGTAATCAAAGTATTTTACTTTAAAGACCACAACCATTTGGAGAGCCATCCAGACCTCACTTGTTAAGGACAAATGGAATGAAAGCAAGACAAATTGAGGCCTCTGAGCATAATCCTTGATGTATAATTTTAAGTTGTCCCTGCCAGTAGTGAAAGAGGTGTGGTTTGGGACTTTCTAGTCCCCGTTTTTGGAAGTATAAAGCCCAAACTGTAAACACCCTTTAATCTCTTCTCCCCAGTTTTAACTTTTTAAGTTTGGAAATTGTAGATCGAAGATTAGGAGCCAACTAAGTCACTGGGCAATGGAAACAGTTACTAAGAATCATATTTTTTGGATGGAATTGGGAATAGGAAAATCAGTATTAAAGGAGTAAACTGTGAACAAAATCATTGTATTTTTAAGAGTTTGAGGTAAATGTATTAAGATACAGAAAGATCTAAGAAATGGAATCCTATTATGGTAAGTATCTTGGTAGGTAGATTTGAATAGCATAACCTGTGCTCTACACTGCATAATAATAGACTTGAACAACAAGGCAAATATCAAGTTCAAAATTATTTTTGAGCTGTTTTTGATTTATTTTTCCCCCTAGAAATCATTGCATTATTGTTATTTTTTAAATATTTTTTTTTAGTTGTCAGTGTACCTTTATTTATATGTGGTGCTGAGAATTGAACCCAGTGCCTCATACATGCTAGGGAAGTGCTCTACCACTGAGCTACAACCCCAGCCCTAGTACTCATTATTTATTCTTGGATTACAGTAAGATGTTACATATTTATGAATGTTTTTGTACTCCAGTAAGAAATTAAAGTGATAGGCCTTACAATCTGTAGCCAGCAGTGACAGACCTTACAATCTGTAGCCAGCAGTGACAGTTGCAGCATGCAGCAAAGCAGTTCTAAATCAGTTGCAGTTATCAACAAAGGGAAAGCAAATTTATTGTGCCTATTCCTTTTTCTTACTTAGGGTTTATTCTCAATCTGACATCACTTTATTTCAAATGCATTGTAAGACAGGAAGAACACTGAGATAGTATCAAAACCCACTTCCTTTTATGTACAAAAATAAAGAGTTCTGACAGCAAAACTGATACTTGTAGTTGAAAATCAATAGAAACTCTCTAGAATAATGTATGCCTTTAAATAAGAACAGAGAATAGAACTTTGAAATTCAGTCCAGTATTAAAACTAACTTAAAGTAGAGAAACTTAAAACGTAGTTGTAATTTTTAGTTTTTAGACAGGAAACAATGTTCAGAGAAGAACTTTATGGAATTTCAAGCCAAGGTAAGGTGGAATAATTCCAGAGAAATAATTATTAAAATCATCTGTTTTCCTTGCTTTTTTATAATTTGTAGTTACATGAAGCTTCTGCCTTTTTCTTAGAATGAAATTAAAATACTGCAGTTTGAAGCCACTGCAGGGGTATTATTTTTATCTTTTGAAAGAGAAAAGTTTTGTTAGGTTTTGGTCTGCTTTTAAAGTATCTTAAGAAAACAATCAGTTA